TTTTGTTCCCACTTCGCGCTACAGTCACTGAGGGGATAAATGATGAAAACTTGCTTGTTTATGTCAATCATTTACAACAAATCCGAAAAGAAATGTAAGACAGGCTTCATGACCTGATTGACATGGAAATTCCAACTTGGATTTTAGTTCCACTTGCGCCGTAATAGCCGACTGATAACTTTCTGAAACGATGCATATGACGTGATCTGTCGTTTCAGTTTTCTAAACTCCACTGACTGTCTGTTGGACGTGCGCTCGACACGTGGAACCTCACGTGTGATGCACAATGCCTGGCTGCGCTTGATGTGAATATAGGCTGTGTGCCTACCTGTGGAATGATGAACACATTTGACTGGACACACTTACTGACACTGCTAGGAGCCGACCTCAGTGGTGTTCCTACTGTAAGTTTCTTTGTCCTTCCCCATCTCTCTTAGCCTCCCCCTCCAACCACCATCTCATTTCTCAGCATAATAAAACTTTGCATAATAATTTTTTGCTGCATACTTGCCGGCTAGTAGCTTTCCGGAACGATGCCCATCCGTTACTGGTAGCTCACCTGGCATGCCCCTGTTGCATTTTTTCTTTTTTTCTTGTATGTATTGCAGCTCAGTAATTGGGATGTACTCCACATCTAGCTGATGTGTTTGATGTTGACGACGTGTGGCAAAGCCTCTACATTAGAGTGGCTCCCTTAAACTGTTTAGTGTTACTGTCACAGACGGCGTGCGCTTCCTAGTGGCCAAGCTAGTCTCAAAGAATGGTTCCATCCAGTGTGGAGCGGATTACGGCGCAGTCACCGCCCTATGTACGTCTGGTACACATGATTCACCACATGGATAGACAGCAATGCTGCTGTCATGCATGTTGAAGGATTGTGGGCCGACTCCTTTCATGAAACGTGGCTACGATCCACATGCCTCGCGGTCTTATTCTTTCCTGTTTACACTGGGTCTCGGGTGTGTTGTTGATGGGGCTGTGGGTGGTGCAGCGCAAACCACCCATGATCCCTCTACAGACGTAGGCGTCCTTTGGCTGTCCTATAAAACCCTCAATGACAGGCAAATCCGGAACCGGATGCCGCTGAGCATTTATATATATATATATATATATATATATATATATATATATATATATATATATATATATATGATTCGATAGTTTGTGTACCCATGTGACCCATTAAGCTACGCTGGTTGGCAGTTTCAAGTGCCTTCAGAGCCGCTCACACCAGATAGGTCAATGGTTAGGGGTCAGACTAACTCAGTCTTACCATCGCCCAGCTGCCTTGCGGGCAGGCTGTTTAGCCAAATGCTCTGGGTGGAGTCCCCTAAGACAAACTCCCTACTTCGGCTTTGGCAACCGGGTAGTGTCATGCCCACTGAAAAACCCATGGACTGTTCAACTGTACTATCGCTCTCATCTGCTTTTGCTTCTGCTAGTCACTCACCTTCACACGCCACCTGTTCATTTGTTACCAATCAGTATTATCCGTTACCAAATGATTCTTGTTTCTATGACATTTATGAACACTAGACGTGCATGCAGATGACCATGTTCTCTTCCGGACAACAAGTTTATGGTCTTGCTCAACATCTTATGAAGGCCTGGTTCTCCACGCGCTGTTTGAATTTGGACCGATGGGCGGAACATTTTCATTCCCAGTTCAATTGGCCCTCACCGTTCACTTATATTTCCTGCGAACCCAACTGCCCGCCCTGAGTCGTCACACTTGATCCACCCAACGAAGCGGAAGTTTGTCTTGCGATTCGACACCTAGGATGATTCAAGGCTGCTGGCTCAGATGGACTTCTTCCGGAGCTGTTCAAATATGGAGGCTCAGTAATCATTAGCCAGCTGACCACATTGTTCTCCAAAATCTTGCATGAAGAAAAGGTGCCTTCTTCCTGGTGCGAGTCAGTTATTGTCCCGATTTTTAAGAAGGGTGCTCACACTTCGTGTACCAAACACCGAAGGCTTAGTCTCCTTTCGGTTGCCTTCATCCTGTTGGTATCCATTCTACTCCGTAGACTATCTCCCATTCGCAAATCGCAGTACCGGGAAGAACAAGCTGGCTTCCGACTTGGCCGCGGATGTGTGGATCAGATATTCACACTCCGTCAAATCCTTTAACACCGCCTCCTTTACCAGAGGCCTACCATCGTTGCATTGCTGGACATTCATGACGCATTCGAGTCGGTTGGCCGACCTGCACTATGGCGTTGTTTGCTAAGGAACGGTGTCCCAGAAAAGTACACTGCCATCCTACACGCACTGTATTTCCACATCTCTGGCAGTGTTAGGTTGCATGTCAGGCTTTCATCATCCTTCGCTGTGAATAGCGGTGTACGACAAGGCTGCTCTATATTCCCGTTCCTCTTCCATTTCGCGATTGAAGACATCCTGTCGAGAGCTCTAGATGTTTGCCAAAATTTTGCTATACAAATATTACTGGGCAACCGAGCAACCGACTTGGATTATGCCTGGTGATATCGTCTTACTTGGTAAGGACTCACAGAGAATGCAAACCATTACAGATCATTTGGCGATTGAGGCGTCTGGGTACGGAATGTGCTTTGCCCCGTGAAAGTGCTGCTACAGAATTGGCACTCAACTGTTCCCGTGCTCCATATTGAAGGTACACAGCGTGAACAAGTGGATAGCTTTGTCTACCTTGGCAGCTGTATATCTGCTGGTAGTACCGTTACAAGGGAAGTTTCTCTTCGCATCGCCACATCTCGGTGGGCGTTTGTCAACCTGCAGTACTTGTGGAGTCGTCGGGATGTCTCCCTCTGGGTCATGTTTACAATGCCACCGTTCGGGCGATGTTGCTATATGGAAGCAAGTCATAACCAGTTCGCGTAGACGACATGCGCCGGCTCTCGGCGTTCGACAACGAGTGCTTGAGGAGGATTGCTCGTGTATGTTGGCAACAACACATTTGCAACTGTGAAGTCAGACGTCCTTTCTTAGAGAATGCGAGTATTCCCTTCAGCAAGCTGGTTTTTCTGCGCCAGTTAAGATGGCTTGGTCATGTCCTGCGTATGTCAGCTGAGCGTTTGCTCTATCACGCTCTGTTTGCTCCTGCAGGACTCAGCTGGAAGAGACCACGTGGTGATCCACCATCCACCTGACGACAGAAAACGAAATTATTGACTTTGCGTCTTGCCACTATTGGATCCACACGTCTGTCTGGTTGGGGACCAAAGGAGGAGTGCCGATGGCTGGAAACAATTCAGGATATGGCTCGTAATCGAAACCAGTGGAGGATCTGTGTATAGAACTGCTTAGATTTGGATACTTAATGCTTAACGATTAAAAATGACAAAAAAATTAAAATGGCTTGTGAAAAATAACGGAAAATGCTCCGTTTTTTTCTACTACGGCAAAATAGCTGAAGTGTATAGCCATGATGCTGATTCGGTGTCTTCTTTTAGTGATTTCCATGGTTATATTTGGCTCTGTCTGTTTGATTGACTGCTGGATATATATATATATATATATATGTATGTGTATATATATGACTAACCCTATAGCCTGCAACGAATGAAGTCTGTTCACAGTCTACATCCATGTGAGGTACGCCTGCCTGTTTAACAAACAGCCATTACATGTTTATGCATATGCAAACCTTTCCATATTCGGAGCTTCTCTGGCGACTTCTCACTCCACCGGATATGCCAAAGGCACTTGGTTCACTGTGGTCTCCAGAAACCACGGAATCTCACTTAACAGCTTGCAAACAGCTAAACCACTAGTCGACTTACTCTTCCTTAATCGTTACCCATACAACAAACTTTCGTTTGTGTTACCTACTGTTCCATAGCTTGCCTTTGATCCTGACTTTTGCCACGAAGTTACTATGATTGCAATGCTACAAAAATTACTAAATAAAAATTTTATTCTCGGCAACGCGAGACACTTCTTAACAGGCGCGCTCATGTTAAGACAACAAAGCGTGATCATAAATGTACTAAATATAAAAACCTTGCCATAACAATGAATGTATGTGTAAGGGTGTAAATGCGTATGTAATTGTATCTCTTTGTAGCTGTATAAGTGTGCCGCTACATTCTTCACTGTTTGTTGCGTTGGCAGTGTGACAATTGACCATTGATGTCCGTGTGTTGGATAAAATTATCCGGATATTCACGGGGCAGGAACTTTAGTTCGTGGAGAGTCACAACCGTTACGTCGCAATGTTGATAAACAGACATTTGCGGTTATTTTATAGCTAGAACACTTACTAGGCGAAAACATACCGCGTCCGGAAACACTGCGGCGGAACTATTTGTTGGAACGGGTGGAACCCGAATCACCCAGCTGGCATCGTGAGGAGGTTGTTCGGCTGGCCAGCCAACTCATGAGTACTGAGTGATTGTATTGTAAGCAATCATCTCGCTGTTCTATGCAGCTGGAAACACAATTGCTCGGCAAAATAAGGAGATTGGGAAATTTCGTAAACTGAGTATTTTTCATTATGTCTTATGACACAGATACTATAACGCTACTTCTGTAAACAGATTATCGCTCCTACCCAGAGATTGTATGCCGCTTTTCACCAAATATGCCAATTTCGTTGTTAGTTATGTCCTGAATTCTGACTCCGGTGTGTAGGGCAGTCCAACTGAATATGACCATATGGTGCTGTGTCACGTATGTCAGCACAGTCCGATTTTTTAATACCAGCCCAGTCTGCCTTGAGATCTTCGAATTAACCTCGCTCATTTTCCTTGGCATTACATGGCGGCCTTTCGGGCATATTCCACCGGTTCCCACTGATTGTATTTCGCCTCAGTGTAGCCGTTCGCAAAAATAAGTCCCATGGGTCAACTATTGGTTCTTGTTTCCGCTAAGTGAATGCACTTCAATGTTCATATGTCACAGTCCTTTTCCATAACGCATTTTGCATTTTCTGGCCGTTAATTTATCTCGTATCTTTCACTGACATGTACTGCGTCTGATGGCTAATGGATGTTGCTACTGTTTTCTACTTATAGCGTTCTCAGGCCCGAAGGAGCCCCATCTTGGTATCTCCAGTTATTTTTACAAACATCTCATGCTGATCGGTTTAGTAAGTCTGAACATACACTTCCTGCCTCTCCCCTCATCTCGAAGAGTCCCGTTTTGTCCGGAACTATTACTAATTCAAGTTGTTCGTTGGAATGGTTGCTCGCTCACCGAACCTGACATTTTGTTATGAACTTTGCTTTACCAACCGAGCTGACATTCTCAGTTCGCAGTAGTAAATGGCTTCCTTCTTCTTCTTCAAGCAAACCCACAGTTGGAGACAGATCCTACTACGTATTCCCTACTTTTGGGAGCGAGACGTTCGGCGCTATGTAGCTGTGATGTTTTGCTTTGCGCCATCTCGTTTCCATGACACAGCGACTCTCGCAGTACGCTTTTTTCATTATAAACCCTATTTGTTTTTCTATTTTTCTATTTTTGCATGTTATGCAGCCCTGAGTAAAGTTTGTTTTGGCCACTCAGGTGGGCGTCGCTGTGTTTTCGGTCACTTCCGTTTGACTTTGAGTGTCTGTGTGGAGATGCTGAAGGGAAAGTTACTGAATTCCGTTTTTGACTTCTTCCACATCTCCATTTATTCCAGGCTCTCGCTTAAAAAGAATCGCTCACGCTTGCTGCTCTCCTCCTGCTGAAGATGCGGTGCGCGTCCCTATGCCGCCACCGACACCGATTAGTGAGTAACCACCACATTCCTATCCAAATTTCCAGAAACCGCTGACTATCTTTTACAACACTCGCGGGTCTTCAGTCTTCACACATTCTTTACCAGATAGCGTTATTATGGCGAATCACTTCATCATCACCTTTTTTCAATTCTGACAGTTTATTTTATTACTATTCATCTGTCACTCAGTCAATTCTTAAAAAAGCAACCACTTTATGCTGTCTGTACGCACCATGGATGACGAATCATTGGATTTTTGTATATTCCACTTGTTGCTCAATTTATCCTTGACATGTATGTTATCCGCTCCCATTTTACCATCCTACGGCGTATGGTCCTCACTGTGTCCTACTGCCAGGCTCGGTCTTGATTACATTACATCATGTGCTTCAGTCGGCCGAGATGACAGCTTGTTTGACCATGTTAGTTTAACATTTGATGGCTTGTCTTGCCCAGTCGACAGTAATACATGTAGCATGTTCCCCGAATCCCCTCCTGGTTCCTTCTTCTTCGCTTTACCGTACGTGACTCACTGGTGAATGGGTGACAAGCCGTTAACGTGTTCTCGAAGATTCAATGTCCCTCTTCCAACCACTGGATCCTCTTGTGTGTTCCCTTACTGAATCTTGTTAAATGATGCGGCTCTGCCGGCCCGTGGCCGTAGTAACAGGGCGTCTGTTTTGTAACCCGGAGGTCGTAGGCGACCTGGCGACCCTCGTAGTATCCTTTGCCCATGCCCGACTGATGGTTGCGTGGTGGCGAGGCGTCAATATGGCAGTAATCCGTACTGCTAATGCCCTTTACATTCTCTTCATGTGACTTGTCTGATGGACGCGTTGCTTTGTCCTTATCATTGCTGAACGCACCCTATGGTTCATCTGCTTACCTGGTCGCATAAAATATCGTGACATCAACCTAGCTAAAACATTATCTTTCATCTATTCATCGAGCTTTGTTTACTTTTGTTGCCGCTATGCACTTGTTCTCTTGGAACCGTACTTTTCCTCATTCGACTAGCTTCACGTCGGTCTTGGTTGGGTGCCGATTTGCCTCGACTCGCATCAATGTTCCGGGGGCCAACAATGAGGCATTCGCCTTCATCTCTGTCTACGGAACTGCAGATGACACCAGAACAAGTCATCCACTACCTCCTGGTAAGCTTGTCGGACATATTCCCATCAGATGGCCTCTATGCTTCTTGGTTAAATTTTCGCCTATTTGGCCATTTCTGATTGTTGTAGTGGCCTCAGTGTGTTTGCTTTTTTAACAGCATTTACTTTCGGTCTGTCCACCGGTAGGCTTTGCCTGGTGACTGAAACCGTATTTTTAACCAGCCTTCAGCACTTTCCGCTACGAGTTTGGCTGTCTTGTCCACTTGTGCTTTTGTGTTTGGTGCTTACCACATCACAGTCATTTCGTTTCCATGATCGTTCCTCTGTCACGAAATCCTGACTGCTCTTGATTACATGAGTTATATCAACAATACTAGTTAGATGCGCACGCTTTTATTTTTACGACGTTATCGTCGCTTTGGTGGATCTGCGGGGAATATTTGAGCCTACGTGTCTCCACGTAAACTCAACACAACCTCTTCGGGCGTATCTCATATCGGACTTGCTTTGGTGCCGCTACGATTCATCGCTTCCAAATTATGTAGTAAGACTGTCACACTTCTAAGGAAGGGTCTCCCGTTTAGTCTGTCGCTCATGCCCAACGAATTGGTCTGTTCTATGCGAAATGAAGTTATTGTTCAACCACCAGTTTGAATTTTGTGAACATGTATGTTTTTGGTCATTCCTATTTTCTTTTCTTGTATTGGTCTGAATTTGCACCCACTCTTATCATCCTGTCCACGTTGTCTTTCACTCAGATGTTTTGTTTTTCACGTACTTTCTACTCTTTGCCCCTATGCTCATTATCCTCTAACTCTTTTCGCAGTTCCTTTTTCCCGATGCGGACTCTTCGTACTCATGCTCTTCCGCGGAACGTATCGAGCTTATGGCCTCCACGGTTTACGATAACCCAAATGACGTGGAATTATTGACCTGGTCTCGAATACAAAACAGAGCCAACTTCGATGTATGTTACCCTCTTTTGCTCTTCTGCTACGTGATTTTCTGAGCAACCATGTAGGCCGGTTTGGCTACGCATTGCTTTTTTGATTTACGCTCCTTTCGCTACGTTTTCACTCTATTAACTGATCAAGCCCTACTGCAACACATTTGACGCGTTCTGTTGCCATCTCTAGGTGATTATGAATTTCTTACTCTTGCTAATCACAGTATAGACAAAGTACCTGAGAGCATTCAGCACACTTCTTCCTAATCACCGGGTCTATTGCTTCACTTCTGCTTGTTTCCGCATATTCAGCAACAACCGTTTCCAGTTTCGCCTCGTACTGAGGTTTGGAACATTCACATGACGTTTCACCTTCAGAGCGCGCACCAGAGGCATACGCTGCACCACCCATCGTTCTACCGACACGCACACACCTTAGTTGTGGATTATATATAGTGTTAGTTCCGATGCCGTCTCACAACACTTCAAAGCACACCATTCGTGAACTAGCGAACCCGTGAAACAGGTACCCACGGCTATAACAGCACCCAGGGACATCTCTGCAGTCGCCATAATGATACACTTGTGTGTTCTTAAATCTTTAAACAACACAGTACTTTCTGCGGCTATTTGTTTGCTTTGATGCAGCGGACTATTGTGTATACATCATATATATTCCGTTTTTACTTCGCCACCGTCAAATTCATGGAGACTACATTCACTGGACATGATTTGGAAGATGTGGAGCTGCTCCCAGACGACCGACATTTTTGCTTGTAGTAGCCGACGATATTTCCTTTAGCTGTCACAGCTCCCAAACGTGCCAACCAGCACGGGACAAATTAGTTCTGACTGCCAGTCGTTTCGAGCTATACTTTGTACTCTCGGGATGCAAAGTTCTATTCTGAGATTAGCATCGACTCATGCTTGCGCTGGCCTTTGGTCGTGATCAGCTAGAACTCATCCTGAAATTCAAGTATCTCGGCAGTTATATCAACATCCGCGGGATAGAAGATGAGATCACCTACCTTATTACCAAAGCTCGAGGTGCTTTTGCGAATCTTCGCTACCTGTGATGCGTGCAGAACATCACTCTTGTCCTGAAGGGCAAACTTTACGATGCAGCCGTGCTTTCAACCCTCATGTACGGTTGAGAAACATGGCCTCTCAGAGCGACATATATTAAGAGGCTTGTTACGTTCGACTGTCGCTGCCTTCGCAGTTTGGCTCAAATCTGTTGCGAACACTGCTTGGACAATGAGCGTGTTCGACAACTTGTTTATGGCATAGGAAGTGGAAGTGAACCGCTCAGCACCATCATATCACACATCAGGCTCCGATGGCTACACCAAGAGTAGCGCATGCCAGCCCACCGACTCCCGCGATGTGCGTTGTTTTCCCGCCGCGCGTGTGGATGGAAGAAGAGGAAGGGAGACAAACCGATGACTTTGTCGAGAGGAATGAGGTCCTTCGGTTCGAAGTTGACGTTTGGTTTGTCCCGACGGCCAAGCTAGGGTCCGAAGTATGATGAATGCGTCTAGTTGAATATCCTTTTTGACAAGGAGCCGGCCCTAATGGCGTTTATGTTGTGAGTTTCTTTGTGACACTTCCCATTCATCTTTCACCTACAACTGCACTTTCATATGTGATACGTAATATCTGCTGGCATCACATTGCTCTTTAGTTAATATATATATATATATATATATATATATATATATATATATATATAATATTCTGTGCTTCCATTTTCATATATACTACCTCTTCGTATTGTGGCGCGTTAGCTGAAGTGTGTTTATCGCCTTCAACTAAGGTTTAATGATGATGTTGATTGAGAGGCTATGGCCGGTCGCATGATAGAGCCTCTCTTGGTGATTTTAACTGTAGCCACAACTTTAAACTTCCTCATTGCCATCCACTTTTAGCTGTCTAATTATGTCCGTTTTCCAGAGAGCGGTATTTGAATAGTAGTTGTTATTTCTGTGCTTCTCTGGGGTGAACCGACTTGATGCATCGCACATGAACGGACGTCAAACACGTATTGGCATGCGATGAGCCATACAAGTGTGGTCTAGCTGCAGCAATATATTACTCGGCGGACACGTCACCGCTATATTACATACCTAAGAGTAGGTGCAACCATACTCCTGCATCTTTCTCACAGTACACAATGATTTCGTTACCACGGTATAACCTCTGCTGTCCTCGCGACGTCTCAAATTCCTAATCTCTGCGCACCAACAGGTTTCTTCTATGGCTTCTCGATTGGGGCTTCCTCCTGCCACTTCTCTCGCACATCGGCTAGCCGTCCTGCTTTGCAACTTGCACTTTTTACAGCCAAATCCAAGTGACTTTGATGCGGTGCATTTGATCTTTACTGAGGTGATTTTGGAGCTCAAACTCAGGCTAGAACGCCTCATTAGCTTGCCGGACTATTCCAGTTACGTGGATGCTGAGACAGCCGTTTACCCGGTCCCCACTTCGGATCCATCGATTAAGGCCAGCTTCGCACCCGTACATCTTCTGCCTGAAGAGATGCAGCCTTTTTCACATTGGTCTGATGGAGAGCGGCTCAACATCCATAATATTTTCCAGCGCTTTGACAAATGCATTGAAACCGGTAAGCGAGCGTTCCACGATATCACGTTAACACTTTTTGCGGAATGTACTCCTTTGTCTCGTTGAACTTGCATATCAACTCGTAGTTCAACATTCGACTTTACCACCTGCATCTGTGTGGGGTTTCGATGGCAACTGTGACTGTACTTTAGTATTTATTTTCCGGAGCATTTCGCTCTTGTTCACCTGACTGTAATCGAGTGTTCGAGGAGTTCTGTATCATGGTCTTGTTACAGGAAATCGATTTATTTCCATTATGTCGATTACCTTGCGTCTTACAGGTTTTTGACTTTTGTCGAACTAATCCCTTGGTTTTTAGCAACTTGTTTTATCTGCATTTAGTTTGCTGTTTGTATCCTTGGGACACTATTGAGGAACGACGCAGATGCATTTGAATCCCCTTGTTCGTCTCAACAATACGAAAGGCACTCTACAGACAACAATGCTTGTAAATGCACGCAGTTCACACCGTCTCATCAGCATCATCGGTGATATTCGATTTACTTATAAAGTTAACTGGGGATATGACAGAGCAGCCTATGGATGCGAAGGAGAATGACGGTGGTTTATTTTTGAATACAAGCCTGATAAATACTTCTTTCTGAATACGTGCCGGTTTATATCGATTGCCTTAGTAACACGAAGCAGTCTCGGACTCATACAGTTACCATACCCCATGCGGTTGCAATAATTCAGCGCTTTCGTGCTTTCTGGTATCTCGTTTCCGTAAGAAATTGGTTGTGGCGTCATAAAGTGGTTTCTATCGGTCTGAAAGGCCTTATGTACAATACCAAATTGAGGGTAGTGAGACCTAACCGCTTGGATCTGAAGATATGCGTCATCTTCAGCTCTTTGATCATCGCTGCCTGCGAGTTGTTGCTTGTGTCTTGTGGCACCAGCTTGTCCGCAACGATGACTTACGTGGGCAAATGGTAGGTGATGTTTGTCATGCTGGTTACTTGGAATAACAAATAATACTGGATATGCTGCATTGGTTTGGACGCGTACATATGCCCGGTCACCGCTTACGGAGCAAGACCTTGTTTTGTTTGCCAGATGTAGAGTGGCGCAAGACTCGCGATGGAAAAAAGTTGACTTGGCAACGGGAAGTGAACTTACTGACTTCAAATTTCTGTGCTGTTGGTCCTTCTCGCCTTTCTTGTGCATGACTCGAAACGTTACAGGACGGCACGCATTCGGCACCATTGACGCGTCTGCTGTCGTCTTGTAGTCAGACTACATGTTTAAAGTGTGTTTCGTGCTGAGTTATCTGCGGGGTAATGGCTGATTATGACGCGGGGCAGTGAAAGCCGCAAGGAAGCTGTATCGCTCATACCGCCTTATGTTTGTACGATAACCAACTGTTAGTGACAGTACGTTGTTGACAAGGTGTAGGCGCCTTGACCCCTGCTTAGGGCACTATGGTTTTATGCTTACTCCCTCTTCTATCCCTGTTATTATACTACGTTCCGTAGTTCACCGTGGTTGTACGGCGGCAGAGCATCCATTCAGATGGCTGCTGCACTGCTATTGATGTTGCTGCCTCCGATTTCGCACACTTGTCGACATCACGTGGGAAGGCTCGATGAGCCCCTCCCAAAGCTCCAAATATCTCGAGCATACACATTACGGATTATCACCTCTCGCTTACTTTTATGTCTCCCGTCTTCTTTACTGCAGTGGACGCCCACAACTTCCTTACCATTACATCTTATATCACGGATTGTGGCTTTATCTGTAGTTTACTTAATGGGCTTCCTTACAAGCTCATAACCAGTCATACTGGTAGCTGTATAAGGCAGCTACAGATAAATTTGCTTCCTTTTTCACTACTGTTGCCACTGGCCTCTGCCGAGAAGCGCTTACAATCTACTGCAATCTCTCAATATCTAGTTCGCCTTACTCACGCCTGGAAGCGCTTGATAGCTTTCGTTTCTCTCCCGCCGACATTACTGGTCTGTGGTTTTGACGTGTCCGTGTAGCGTATTAGCATGAGGGCTCAGAAACCTTGCGAAATCCACAGAAATAAGTGACGATTACGATGTCGAGTTGGTTTATGATTTTTCTGTTTAGGTGCCTTCCATGTGCTCTGTGAACGAGATTGGCGTATGGTGGAGCGGAGCGTTTCCGATTGGCAACCAGCAGTTTAGAAAAGATAAGCGCTGACGCCTTTTTCAGGTGACAGAGCAGATCCAATAGATAAACCAGTTGAGTTGGTTTATTTGATGCAGTACCTCGACACTACTGTTTTGACAAGTGACCAATCGGGATCCCAAACTAGCCTCCGTGATACGTTTCATGAAACTCGGCTGGCCTAGTAGAATTCCTGCTGAGTTGAAACCTTTTGGGTTTCGGAAAATGAGTTGAATGTACACGATGGTTGCTTGTTTTGGGCTCACGTTTTGTTCCATGGTCGAAAGCGCGCTCCTTCATTCTAAATGAACTTCACAATGGACTTCCAGATGTTACCCGAATGAAGGCTCTTGCACGTGGCTATTACTGGTGGCCCGGCTCAGATGCCGAAATTGAAAACTATCTGAAAGGGTGTGATCTCTGCCAACAATATCAGTCGAATAAGCCTCCAGATCCCATGCACCCTTGGCGTTAGCCTGAAAAGCCATGGCAGCGTATCTATGCAGAATATTTTAGTCCTTTGAACGGAACATTTTTCCTGTTGATAGTTGATACTTATTCGAAATGGATCGATGTTTATCCAGTGTCTCATCCCACGGCTGAAACAACCATTTCGAAGATGCGATCATCGTTTTCTGTTTTCAGAATACTTGAAACTGTTTGTACAGATAATGGGTCCTGTTTTAACAGTACTGAGTTTGAGGGCTTTATGCAGAGCAATGGCGTTCAACATGTGCGTACAGCCCCATATCATCTTGCGTCAAATGGATTAGCCGAAAGGGCGGTGCAGACGGTAAAAGGAGGCCTGCTAAAGCAGTTATCGGGAACCGTACAAACGCGATTAGATCGATTGCATTTTGCCTACAGAATAACTCTGACAGAAGCCACGGTAAATCCCCCGCAGAACTGATGTTCGGTAGAACCTTTAGTACTAGATTACACCCATTATTTTCTAATCGTCGAGCGCAACTAGAAGCGAAACAAAACAAGACAGCTACGTTAGGCAGTGATCACGATGTTGTTTTCCAACCGGGAGATCTTGTGCATACACGACTTCCCGATGAACAGTCTAGGCAGCCCGCAACCCTGGTCACAAATGATGGTACCCAGACTGACCTAGAGGTAAATGGTTGCGTCTCAAGGCGGTATTCAGATCACGTACGTCCGCGTTGTGTAGGACACGACTCAGTCCAGCCGACGGTGGAACAAACCAGTTAGGATACGGCTCCAACAACAAACTGCCCGCCACTTCGCAGGTTTCAACGTGTACCTGTACCTGTTGAACGTTTCGTTCCCGGGGTATGACTTTCTCCAAGAGAGGAGGAGATGTTACATCCGTCAATGATATTGATTAGTTAGTTCAACCACACTGCGTTTTTACTGCTTTTCGTCGCATTGACCAATCAATAGTTCCTCGCTCATGCTTTAACCCGTGTGGCATGTGAGCCAAATCGCACTGCTTCGCCCGATACACTTCGTTTCGTACTGTATCTTGCTCTTTCCTAACTGCGGTCTGGGACCTGCTTTGCTTAAGTTCATTACTACGTATTAAACTTAAAGCGGTTGGTTTTATCTCGTTTGAAATTTCCGGAACTTTTACTTTTTGGTGCATCTCGCGTTCTGCCTGCTGTCTCAACGTCTTTAGACTAAGAAATTTTGTGTTTCGGATAACATCAAATAGACCCTTTGACTAAATAGTCCTTTGCCGAATTTTCTCACCTCTTAGTGTTCTTTTTGTTTTTTCCTCTCATATTTTATAAACTTAACAAAGTGGCACTTTCTTTGGCTTTATATACATTGCATATAGTTTATTATACCATCCGCTGTCACATTGTAAAATGCTGCGACAATCATCAGTATCTACCAACTCACCTGCCATTAGGCGTCAGTTGTTTAAGTGTAATACGACTGCTCTTATAAACACTCAAAGCCCCTCACCAAATGCACTATTACTACAAGTGCTGACTCCATGCAAACTGTTGTGCGATAACTTTGGCTAACTTCAGTCCTACTGATACATATATATGAAAATTTCTTACATTAGCTTGGGCTTGGGCACGAAAAGAATTCATGATTTCAGCGTGCTGTCACGTCTTCAGAGGATTGTTTTTGTAACACACACACACACACCTTAGACGAAAAGAGAAACGCGTCTTACAAACTTGCTAGGCTAATTATCTTACTGAAAAAGAAAAAGGCGACAGGCAGACTTACCCTCACATATTATCACACTAGATGGTAGTGTTATCGGCACGCCTACTGCTATAATAGACGCCCTAAGTTCATACTTTACTGAATCTTCCTGAACTGAAAATGCAATTCTGACACCTGCAGTCTCATCTATCCTCCCTGAAACTCTTTCTGTTGTGGACCTGAACATCGGCGTCATTAAATGCCGTAATCAAGTACGGTGTTAGAATGATGCCTACTCGACATATCTATTTTGTGCCAATTTTTAGTTATCAAGCTTTGTTTCACTATCGGTTGTTTCTTGATGTTTGTTTAAGTACATCATTCCCTCGATTTGATTGGCCGGCACACATCGTTCGTAGTGGATGTTTTCTCAGGCTGCCATTCCGCTAATGCCGTTTTCTTCGACACGCGTGGTTGATTTTTACTTTTCTCGTTTCTTATTCGCATGTGTCATTCAGCGTCTCCTGTGTTTTTGGTTGGCTCCGATGTTCTTTAATAGCGTTGCATCCGACAGTATTGTACCCTGTATAGAAAAGCTTTATTCCCATGCATACGTTTCCATACTGGCTCGTCTGCGGTTTTCTCATTACCGTCGTGAGGTGCGAACAGTTGGCGACGATATGACATACAGTGGTGCTGATATCCCAGTATTATTACCGAATATATCTTACCTGC